GACTTCACCGTGGTCGATACTCGTGAGATAAGCGAGGAACTGCCCCGCTATAGCGACGACCTATCATTGACCAAACGTATCAGGCGCCTAAAAAGGCGCACGAAGTACATGAAAAGGCGCATACAGACACTTAAAGATGAATATGTAAGTTATGAGTTTTGATAATTTCAAGAGTTTAAAAAACAGAAATTATTTCATAATTCTGATGTCATTTAGTATGAAAAAAGAATATCGTCGGTATTTTATTTGTCGACAGAATGATGATCATGTATAACATTAGTCAAACGGAAATATCAGTTGTAATCATGTATCCACCTACTAGTGTTATTTTCAATGAAAGCCCATATATGGATCTTCACAAGAAACACAGATATCGTGATACCGGAACTTATCGTATTCATTCCTTTTATCGATGGTAAAAGGAATGAAAATGGAAAACTAATAATAAGTTGTAAGATGTAACAGAAAAAAAGGTGGCCATGGAAACAAATACTTTATATTGGGAAATTTTCGTCATTGCTCTACTATGAATAAGGGTGAATGTAACCATATATAGTTAAAGTTTCACTGTTTAACATAAAATGAATGACATTCAAATACCTGGTAAAGTAAGTGCATCCATCTATGATAATAAGGCTATATACATTATTAGCATAATCACGGGCAAGAACTTACAAAATGACAGTCGTAAATGTGTACAATATAGAATCCTTTTTACCTAGTTATAGCTGTTGTTGCATAATCCACAACATTTACATCACAGATCTCTGCCAGGCAATTGGAAGTCTTACTCGCTAACGTCAGCCTTTCCCAGCAATCTTGTACTGGGATCACAGAAATTGGCAGTCACCGGTCACTCTCTATCCAGAGGACAATGGAGGTAATTAGTAATAAATACTTATTTACAATAATATCAAAATGATGAGGATTTTAAAAATAAAATATGGATTACTGTCGGTATTAAACATACTAAAAAATGTTTGGTGAGAATATTACATAAAAATATTCATCTGCTGTTATTGTTGTTCTGGGAGATTGTACAACAGACACCCGATACAAGTCACACTTCAATACAAACTTAGAATTAGATTCAGTAGTGACAAATAATTAAGTAAACTGCATCTGAGAGCTATTCTGTCCCTCTAGGTGTGAGGAAAATTCAAACTGACCGAGAGAAAAATGAAGTGTAGATGGAGAGATACTCTAGCTTAAAAATGCAAGAAATTTCGTAATTTTAAATATCTGAAAATTTCAGAAGAACGTCAAGTACATGGGTATATTGAACCGTTTCAGTTTTCATATGAAGTAAAGCGTGGCACGCAGGTTACGGTACGGGACTAAAACTCCACTTGTAGTGTCTACCATCTGCAATCTGGAAGTGAATACATAAAAATACATAAGTGTAAAACACAAAACAATAATTTTACACAGTAGGGGCAAACTATAAATGAAACAGCCGTTTCGTCCTTCTAGGTCTCATCAATACCGTTTCACGTACACTCTCGAAATAAAATGTCATATCAGAAATTCGTGTTGTTTGTACTTGTAATATCTTTATCAAAGTTATAAACTTCTAACATCCGACTGGATTGAAAGAAATTTCGTTGATATGTAGCTATGTTCAGTAAAAACACACTAAATTGTAAATATCAATTGAATATTGTGTTGAAAGGATATAAATGAACAAAAATTATCAAATTTAATTTTGTTTCCAACGGATATTTTGCAGTTGGCCACATATCTTGAACATGACTATGTCATGTTGACGAAAGCTGTGGGGATTTTAGATTTGATGTACGACGACGAGGACATGAATGAATACGACAATTCATTTACAGGAAGAATAGCCACAGCTAAATCGGGTGTTGAAACGGTCGTTTGTGAGTTATTTTATACCATTAGAAAATTGCGCGCTAATTTATCAGTTACGGGACTGGATATACCAGACAGTAACGTGAACGAAGATGGCTGGTACACACCTGTAGTGACGTCATGGTGCCCTACATCAACAAGTAATTGCCGACGGGAACGGAACGGAATTGTCCTCTTACAGCTTACACGATTTGCCTTCTTACTAAGAAATAATATGAAAGCAGTTTCATATTAAATATGATGATAACATCACTCTTTAAATAAAAACAAAAATGGATCTCTAGCAGTCTATGATGTACCAGACTGCTAGAAATGGATCTCCAGCAGTCTATGATGTACCAGACTGCTAGAAATGGATCTCCAGCAGTCTATGATGTACCAGACTGCTAGAAATGGATCTCCAGCAGTCTATGATGTACCAGACTGCTAGAAATGGATCTCCAGCAGTCTATGATGTACCAGACTGCTAGAAATGGATCTCCAGCAGTCTATGATGTACCAGACTGCTAGAAATGGATCTCCAGCAGTCCATGATGTACCAGACTGCTAGAAATGGATCTCCAGCAGTCTATAATGTACCAGACTGCTAGAAATGGATCTCCAGCAGTCTATGATGTACCAGACTGCTACACCTACATTGATATTCCTATCTATTAAAAGGCCATTTTTGTGGCGTGAATTTTAATTCGGAAATATTTTCCTTTGAGATTTGTAGTTTGGTATGTTTACATTTCATTAGTATGCCTTGTATTTATCACCTCGGAACGTAACAATCCTTACTTGTACTGATAAAACTTTACATGGTTGGTATTGTCGATGAAGTGGAAGAAGCCGGAACATATGGTCTTATTCTCGTGGTACTTTTTGAGGAGTCTTCATCTTTTGCTCTAGTTTCATCGATGTATGGTTTGAACTAAAATTCGGTTGATATATCTGTATTCATTTTGTTGTTTTTTAACAAACAAAAATAATTATGAGAAATAATTAAACGAAAATGTTCTCAGAATTGGAATATTCACATAATAATTTTTATAGATGCATGATAAAGGATGGAGATAAAGGGCAGAGTAGTTCATTTCATGATTTCCATGAAGAAATATTTTACATGGACCTTTTGTTGACATACAGATCCAATCATTCTTCTAGAGTTATTGAATTTCTAGGTGGTTTTATACAGATTTATACAATTATTTAACAGCAGTCTTTTACAAACATTTTGGCAACATTTTTCGCATGTCACAACATTCTGCCCACTTTTAATTTAAATGTGTGTAATGATTTTTGCTTTCACTTCAAAGGTTTTATGTTTGTGGTGAATAATATCTCTATTCAGTGAGGAGAAACTAACTACATGTTATTTTGAATACATTCGTAATATACAGTATTTTAGGCATTAAATAACTTTACATAAACACGGAAATAGCTCCAGTACACGACGTATTAATGCACATGATTAAAGTGAATATAAAAATAACTGAAATGTACAGTTTCACCATGTCACGTTTCGGACGAGGAAACATATCTAGAATTTGACAGGCCATTTAATTTACAACTACCCGTCAGATGTTATCTCTAAGCGTTTGATAGCAGACTTTTTAAATTGGCGAATCAATTATTTTGACTCTCTTCTTGATATGAAGTAATCTTTTTTTTTCTCCACCTCAGTCAACCTTCATGTCGTTAAAATTAGCACTAAATTAACTGCTAAGAAATAAGACTATGATGTAGATCTAACATGTACGGACAAAGCAAAATGGTATTTTCTACTTTGCCATGCATCACAAACTACGCTTGTTATATGTACAATTTACTCTCTGTACCGACATGTAAGAAAACTTTCTGTTCAAACACCATGACTTTGACGTATAGGATATATCAAGGACCGGGGCAGATGTGTAGGTCGTGTTGGTGGCGTACAGGAACGATCGGTACACCAAATTATTTTCTCTTGTGTCTAATAATTTTATAAAAGACAGTTTGAAATAACTTTAGCATAGCCTATTGATATTTATCTGAACCTCAAAATTAAAATAAATAAAAATTTTGATTATTTCGCATGAAACTTTGTAATCTCGAATTGTGTACGTGTACTATATCAGAACGTGAATATACACATGATTGATGTGTAGAATTTCTTTTATTGGAGAATCTGAATACTTTCACTATCTATACATTTGTGTGTTTTTCTTATCACTCAAAATAGCCAAGAATACAGAATTTGGAATCTTTCATAGGAAATACAGGGATGTTAGTGTTATATATCTAAATATATTTATTGAAAAAAAGAGGTTATAATTTCAAATACACCCAAATAATAAGCTCGCATTTGCAGAGTAATCAATGCCAGAGTCTTATAAATCAGTTGATGCTTTGTCTTTCTGCCACAATTTTACTTCAAGATAATGTTAATTGATTTGAACAATAACAAAATCGTGTGTGTGAGTGTTTTTCTTAATCCACGAAATTATAAGTTTAGGAACTAAGTATTGTTAAATATTGATAGAAGTATTTTAGTGTTAGTTTTGTAGAGAACTAAAACAAGGCCTACACATAGGTCAAGGTTTGAAAAACCACGAATTTTTGGCTCTACGGAAATATATGATACTACGTACATGTTCATGTTCATATCGTGTGACTTTATATAAATTGTACACGTCATGGTTTGTTAACCACGTACCTTTTCATGCATGTCATAGTATTCTCGATTACAGGCAGAATTTTTATTATGAATGAAGGGCTTATGTTTCAATTTATTGATAAAAGTTGTGATTTTGTATGTTTTTTTTTCTAATACGGATGTCAAAGTGAGTTAAGAACAATTAAGAAGATCTCCTACCAAATGAGTTGTGGAAACTATTGGCTGGGAGGTTGTTACATGTGAAAGACTAATAAACGTTAGTGACGCTTAATGCTAAACACTTACATAGGTGAAAATCTACAAAGCAGTTTAAAAAATAAAAGATTAGTTGTCGGTTATAGCAGTGCATTTATTTTTACATTCCAAATCAACTAATGAAAGATATCAGAATATGATATATACCACAAGAAAACGCTATAAAGGACAAACTTATAGATAGGCAAACTAAGTTTGAAACATTCTGAGGTAGACATTATTTTTATGACTAATTTTACAATATCAGAAGTCTAATGTTGTATCTTAATAAACTACCAAAGTGCACCAGATGCGTCAATATAATGTAATTTCTTTCTTCCTGACATAGGATATTTCTCACCGTGCACCAGGGTATGACGCCATTGTACAGTCCATTTCCACTAACGTGGCTCTCCATTAGTTGTTCATGTGTATCAGATATTTGCCTTATTTTCAATATTGTTAGAAATAATTCACAAATAGTATTTTGCACACTGACACTTGCTTCTGTCATTTCCGGTGAATGAACTCCATCCTCGCTCATCTGTTTCAAAACTCCAGTTACAGTTGTTAAGGCTACATAGTCCTGTTCGAGTCGGCGCAATAGCTGTGAATCGTACAAGATAATTATATACATTATACATTTTTTTATATGTACTTTTTTCTAAAGATGGAATTATCAAGACTCTTTTTATAAGTTCAATTGAAAATTAAATGAAGACAAATTACTCAAATATTTCATTAATTGATGGCCAAATTCATCGAGAATAAGTTTCCCCCCTAATTAAACAAATTTGTCTCGGCTATAACATAACTGCGATTTGTTTATTATTCAATATATTTCTTTTTCATTTCTTTAGATATTAATATATAAATGAAGTCGGCGTTCTGCTGTAATAAGGAAACTGTCGGAATAAAAAGTAATTAACTAGCTGAGATGTTGATCAAATGCATACCTGTACTTCATTGTGAACTGACAAGTTTTGGTAACCTCTTAAAGGCGCCAAACAGGTACGATTTGCAGAATTGCTGAAGCCGACACTAAAACTGGTGACTCTGATACGCTAACGAATTCAATAAAATGGAAAATAAAAGTCTGCTTAGTTAAGCAGTGGTTAAATCAATCTTTGAATGAAGACACAGAAAAAAATAAGTAAAATGACGACGACGACGTCGACAACAATCAATATCAAACATCACCTGGTGATTGATATGCCATCCTAGCAAACACTGGAATAAATGGAACGTCTGCTTTCTGTCACAAACTTCTAACCATACAAATGTTTTCTGTCTTTTTTTATCTGATAAATTGAACTCAATTGAAAGTCGATTGAGTGACAGCTAATCTAATGAATTTGTGAAAAATCATTGTACGGAAATACAAACAGCTGATCTACATATACCAAAATATTATCCAGACTAGGTATTTAGCTAGCAACACGGATTTTTCTTCTTTAGAGAATACAATATTGACAGTAAATCGGTCAAAGTGGATTTAATTCAATTACAATTTCAAGGAGTAATAACATTCAAAATGTGAAAGTCATTCTAATGATTGATGTTAAATCAGCTAGCATTCATTTCCTTTTCCCATAGTGAACTAATAGAAACACGTCTATTAGCTTCTTTTATTTTACAACACCCGAGAAACAAGTTTGTCTACCTTATACTAAATACTCCTGTTGGCCCGGATTGATGAGGGGTCTTACTGCTGGAGCAAATCGAGGCAAAAGGGAAAACCCAAATTTTACTAAAAGGCAAGTGTGTTGCCATTGCGCCATCCGACACGACCATTATTTCACAATATATCAATACTCACGTAATGAATTTTAAGAGATCTCAAACTTCTGTACATCATTGAAGCTCTAACCCTCAGTCGTCTGAGACGTTCTCTAAGAGTGAATCCGTCACTATTGTCGTCGTCTACCTCGCTAGGTCCATTTGCTGCCAATTCTCTTGCACCAAGACAAACATGGCGAACATCTGTGGTGATTTCATTTTCCTGTACTAGACATCCGTCGTTCTGACATTTGACCCACATCACATACATCACTAAAACCAATTATCGTTAGATATTGTTTTACGTGGATGATAATGACATAAGCAATATGGGACAATTGCTGTCATTATTCAAGAAAAGCAAACGTTTGAACTGTAAAAACAACCTTACGAAATCATTAAATTACAAACTTACTGAAAAATGAAAATGCATCCAAACTTTTTTATGAGGCTGGCAAGCAGCTAGATGTATGTTTTGAAGAATTTCGTGCATAAAGCACAATCATATATGTGTAGTTTCTCCACGCATATGCTGAGGTTTTAAACGTGCATGGATTTAACACCTTTAAATCACCTAAATCGTACGTATGGGATATTGTTGGATATGATTATATCACAACTCTATCATCATTATTTTCTGTGTTAATATAGACTGATTATAACACAACCGACAACTCGATTTTATTATCATCTCCTCTATGTACACAGAACACTTCAGTGACCTTACCTTTTATATGATACATTCTAGATACATGCATTTACTTGTTACACATACGCAATTTTTTAACTAGTTACAACATATAAAAATCTGTTTTTTATGTACAGTGATATATAAGTGATGTAGTTTATAGACCGTAACCACTTCTTTCTTATGACTAGGACCAATTTCATGAGCAGTCATGATATTTACACGTTTGACATACTGATATTCAATGAAGAAAATCTACCGAAGTACACCGTATAATATATATAGACAAGAAGTAATTGCTCATAGTTCGGCGTTTCTTCATTTACAACCATGTTTTTGTAATAATTTTTGTACTGGAACATTTTATGATCTTCACTTTATGATATATATGTACAGGAACTAAAAAGTCAAATACAAAGCAAAACGTCAGTACATATGTGTATATGTTTAGTAATTTCTTACTCTTTATCATCTATGTATTAAATTCTTTGGTTGATGGAATTACAAAAATTTCAATCTTATCATTTTGCTTGAATCTAACTTATGTATATTGGATACTTACAAAATATTATACAAAACGTTTCTTTTATGTGGAGATGCATTTTCGAATTCTACAATAAGTGATATGTTGTTGTATGTCATCTTACCATATTTATATAAGAAATCATCTCTACTCCAAGAATTTTCACAGGGAAAAGTTCCAGTTGGTCAAGTGTGTGAAACTCTGTATAGGTCTTCAACATTTCCCATTCCTTCCTTAAAAAGTGAAAAGGAAACTGAAAATGTCCAAATGACAAGCTTTTAGAATAGAAAGAAGCCGAAACTGGCACTATGACAAAACCAACTGTTAGAATGGTATGCATCCGGCAATTAAACAATAGCCACTCGTCATGCGAGCACAGTGACGGTCACGTATAATGCAGACGAATGGTCTGATATGAGACTTTTTGGGGCATGAATTGACGAGTTTGAGATGAAAACTTTCCAATAACATTTCCATTTAGACCTGAATTTCCGTTTTGTGTTTCAAATGTAAGACTATGATAAGGACATGACGATGGTAGGTGAAACATAATACTGGGTTATATATTTCAATCGTTTGCGACTTTAAGGTGTCGCGGACCGTTATTGGCTTTGCAAGAGGTGATGTGGTGCTGATTAGAATTATGACTCGGATGATAATATTTGGTTTAGACAGTAATAAATTACAGAAAGAAGAAGCAATGCAATGTTCATATTTCAGCGCACGTGACTTCAAAATCAACTGTATTGTTGCATATATAAGTTACAATATATTTTCTTTTAACAAGGAAATAACGATTTCATTGATAAAGGGATGTAACAGTCAGTGTTTTGTTCTCCCTATTTACACATCCATGAGACCTTTGGTTCGTTTTCACATAACTTCGGTACTATTTCTTGTTGTTTCTACCATTTTATGGAGGGAGTTAGAAAATCATCAATATTAGCATATCACTTTCTAGGGAATATTTTGAAATAATATATTCAGGTTATATGTTGGCTGTGTGCTTCAGTAACGGAAATATCTTACTCGTGTTCTATTCACTAGGAAATTTCACTCCTGTGATCTATCCAGCCAGCACTCGACTAAAAGTAATCTACTAAAGCTACTGTTCGACTAATAAAGAGTTGATACTCATTATATTCTCTCTTTTTTCAATATCACCTTCCCTCTTTTTTCTCAAACTTATCTCCCTACTTTTTTCAAACTTATCTCCCTACTTTTTTCAAACTTATCTCACTACTTTTTTCAAACTTATCTCACTACTTTTTTCAAACTTATCTCACTACTTTTTTCAAACTTATCTTATTTATACTTTACCTGAAAGATAACAATAAATTCAATATTTTTGTCTGAGATATGTCTTGTATTTTCTAGCTAGTAAATATTTTAAATCTAGTATTCATACGTAACATATAAAATGGTTTCCGCGGTTGTCCTCATCTTGTTAGTTTGCAAATGTAAATACTTTTATTCCTTATGTTCTGAGATCAAACTTCTGCTTATTTCCATTCAAGTTTTCATTGCATCATCTCAGAGAAGTTTCACTGTATCATAAAGAACCTAGTGGTACATTTCTATCACAAACATATGCTAGGTGTTCACTATTATGAAATGAAATAGAGCAATACAATACCATAAACACGAGACTGGATGTTGCTTGTCGTTTATAATTAGTCAACGTGATAATTTTCAATTTAGTTAATAACATGAGGCCAAATGGGCCTGCAGCGCTCACCTAGTATATACCAGCCAAATGTCATATCTTCTGGCCTTTTGGTTCATAAGAAGAAGCCGCTTAAATGTTTTAACAAATTTGACCCCTTTGACCTTGAATTAAGGTCAAGGTAATTTCTTTTCGCAAACTTTGTCAAGTTTAATCAAAAGAAGGTACATGCCAAATAGCATGCCTCTAGGCATTTTAGTTCATGAGAAGAAGTCGTGTAAGTGTTTAAACAAATCTGACCCCTGTGACCCTGAAGGTATGTCAAGATCATCTCTTTTCGCAAACTGTGTCAGACTTCATTCTAGGTACATACCAGCCAAATATCAAAAGATTTGGCCCGTTGGTTATTGAGAAGAAGTTGTTTAAAGAAATAAGTTGACGCCGGACGACGGCCGTCGCGTCACGGCATAAGCTCACTTGGCTTTCATTTACAAAATGGCGGAAATATCATTCTAAATAAATATCGATAGTTAGTAGAGATAAAGATACAAATGTTTGGATCTCGGCCCCTTAAAGTTATTTCTGTTAGTTTAATTAAAGCTTAACAAAGAAGGAATACTTCAAATGTGAGCAATCATTTATCGCTTAAATGTCCTTTCACTGATTCAACAACAGATAACGTAACTGCAGAAATGTGATCATGTTTCAAAACGATTTACCACAGCTCGCGCTTATTTGAATATGAGGTGTCGATCTTCAGATATTTTAAGTCATATGTCATTGGATCAAACGGTATCAAGTGCCAAGCCTTGTGTTCCTTTGGAGAAATTTACAAAAGGTTGACATGCCGATTTCAATATTGAGAAAACATGTTTCCAATAGTTGAAAGTATACAGTGCAGTATTTCAATCAAGTTCATTTTTTTTAAAAAAAGTTGTTTATTACTGACTCTTTCTCGACAATTATTTGATTTGCTCAGACCTGCTATTCAGTATTTACTATTCAGTCATAAGAGTTTCGATTATTTAGATAAATCCGTTTGCCCGTATGTAAGCGCGCAAGAAGTTTTACAGTGGAAGGAAACCAGAACACCCGGGGAAGACACATACACTTGGGCAGATGACCCCAAGACCTTTTTTACATCCGCCTGGGGAATCGCATTCCCAAAGTCTAAGCGAAAGGTGAGTGCGTTACCTCTTCGATCACTCAGTAGTTTGCGCTGTTTACGGATTTAGTCATTTTGTTCAATGTTAACAGTTCATGTATGTATTGGATATATATATATAATATGAAGAAGGTTACGATTTCTGAAAGTTATAGCAATGAAAGCATTATATAATATATTTGATTACCGAATACCAGCCGATTGGAATCAATTTCAAGATGGAAATACTGATAAAGACAGTAGAACTTCCGATAGGGCTGGCGTTGTTGAGTTTGTACAAAAGTCACACAAATGAATAACACTTTTAAATACAAATCTAGGTATGATACGGTTAATTAAAAACAATGAATTAAACAGTTCAGTATATATAGGAGGCGTTTCAAGAAAGTTACGGAAAGAAATGTAAAAATCTAGATGGCGAGTTGCACTTGTCCCTTTTAGAAGACCGTCGTCAATCATATTGTAAATATTCTGAATCGTGCCGGTTATAGCAAATCTCAGACTAATAGTTCAGCAGCAAAAACACACACAAGTGAATAACACTTTGCAATAAAAATCTAGATAAGATACAGTATGTTCAAACAACGAATTAAAGTGCACCCGAAAATTTAACCTCCGGTAACAGCTTACGCTAGATAAAATTTTGGAGAAGTGATTCAGCACAAACTTTTTTTCAAAATATGGACACATCTTATATTACAACAAGAATGAAACAACAAATGTTGAGCGACCTCCATATGCCATGCAATGCGACCAGATCTACGCTTTGAATCCGTTAACCTTTATTGTTCATGGACTTTTCGGTCATTGTTAACACTGCTTGTTTTTTGGAAGGTGATTGCGCAGGTTTGGAATGGAAGCCTCGGTCTTGGCCCAAACCAGTGTGTATTTGTCAAATCATGTAGTGTCTCTTACACGAAAAAAATACCAAAGCTGATACAAAATGTAATAACGAAACTATCCGTATAATAACGAGCATTATAAAGATTGCACAAAGGACACGCAAGTGAATAATAGCACTTTTAAATAATAATTTAGAATTAGATACAGTAGAGCCAAACAGTGAACTAAATTGCTTCGTACAGATATTTCGGCCTTCTGAAATTTCTCAGTGATGCTTAGGGTCAAGCTGGTTGTTTACACTGTTCTGTTTGGGAAAGTGAAATTACTTAGGGTGATCAAGAATTACATGGCAGTTGTCATGGATCAAGCAGAAGTTTTTACTCTCTTTGAAAGATAGGTCTTATTCTTATAATTTTTCATGAGTATCCATGCCAAATTGTCCTTATTTTATTCAAGTTCAGGCTGGATTAAGATTCTGTTAACATTTCGGTATTTTCCTTAAGAATGCACGTTAAATAGATGCTTCAAAAGCGAGAAATTACTTTTCCCTCGGTAAAAACATCCATTTATGACTCCTGATTTAAGATGAAAAGGTAAAAGCAAAGTTTGGTACATGTATGCATCGTAAAACGTGCTGATGATGTAACATAATACATAACAATTACCTAGTAGTTGAAATTTGTGCCAAAAGTTAATAGACAGCACCAAATTAAAGTTGAATTAAGATTAAGATAAGTGACAGCACAGAATTCCGGTTGTATTTAAGATGCAGCTACATGTATAAATACCAAATATGATGTCCATACATATAAATGTGGCTGAAGTATAGTCTGGAATTATTATTTCAAGTATGCATTACAGACGTTAAGTCAAAATATGTAAAAAGACTTCGTTTTATTATGCAATTCAGTCTGGCTTCTGTTGACCATGCTATATCTCAGTACATAGTTAGTTGTAACGTTTTCCAGTAAATATATAAGTACATCAAAAATGGCTGAAACAAGCTCCAGAACCTCTTCAAATTAGAACTGTCGCCAGGATGCCTGACTAACACCCCTCTGTTCCCCAATCAACTATAGCTTGGGAGGGGTTGTCCCAACAAGATTGCTCCAAGAGGTCTTCATTTAGTCACCATGACAACTAAATGACAACCATTATTTTCCTCCAGTTTCAACTTAAGCAGATAATATCTAAATATCGACCAATCAGAAGATGGTATTTCACTTGAAAACCTGTGTATAGTGACCTGGTTATGATAGCGACCCAATTTTCTGCACATGCACATCTTCACACGGTGGTCAACATTCATCACTGATTTTGATTTCATTTTGGTAAGAAATAGTGTGTCTTCTTGTGATGAACCCAAAATACCAAGTGTTTGGTCCATATATCAAACAGTAGCTTAGATAAACTCCAAAACTTTTCGAACAACAGATTGATGGACACACTCAAGAGGAAGTAAACACAAAGAACTTGTACGTTTGCTATTTCATTGAAATTTAAACAAATTAAGACAGAACAATAACATCCAAATGTTTTACTTCCAACCTTGATAATTACACATAGAAATGACATTTGACAAAACAGTTATTCATGTCCATGTCTAAAACTCTGAACTAAACATGTACACAACCATATGTTTTAATAGGAATTACGGCTTGATTGAAAAGAAACTGAGAAGACTTTTATCACCTGTTAAAGTTATCACCTGTTAAAGGTTTCTTTGAACTTAATGTTACATTTAAAATGTTATCATGACTTGTTATCATCAATTATGGTTGTTTAATTACAAAATTAGATATTCCAACATATATAAACAAAAAAGTAAAGAAAGTACACAGTGTCTCTTCAATACAATTTCATTTGTGGCATTTATGACAAATTAGGAATAACAATGATAATGCAAATGCAATGTTTTTCCTTCAAATACCATCAATTTTACTTTTCATAAACAATTCGAACAACAATTTTTTAAGTTAGACGTTTTTATATGACAAATGAGAAGTAAAATTTTATCAGAGTTGATCTGCAACCCATCTTTAATTTTTTAGTTCACTAACCAGTGAATATGTTAATATTGTTGTAAAATATCTTGGGTTAAATCAATGATGATGTCAATATGAAATATCACAGAATGCCTGTAGTTGCACGAAATTCCCTAAAGCTAAACATACATACAACTTTATTTAATATATATTATGTTGTGATCTAAATTGATATGTAAAGATGAAATCACAATCATTTCTCATTTATAAAGTTATATCAACATTTGATATATAAAACAATTTACTCATAGTGCACAAAACAGTGACTTCATGATAGAATCAGTCTATAAGCAATCACACAGATTAAATTTCATTCAATCGTCAGCTAGCTTTCTGATGCTGAAAAATCAAGATTTTAAACACTACCTACTACATTTACAACAAATGAATGTAAGTTTGCATTTCAGTAATCAAGGCATGAAACACATTTACATGTCACCAACAGATCTGAGACAAGATGCATTCAGTAATTTGTTTTAGTTAATATCAGGATGTCAATGTATGCCTGTATCACTGAGGCTCGACTTCAGTTATCACTTCACAAAACTAATTCTAGATGTATCTTAGTGTCTTTACAATGCAGAACAATGATAGTATAGTGATGTATTTCAACCAGCAAAAACAGAGGCTTTGACAGCCTAATTTTGTGCTATAGTAGAAGTTATACAAACATAATAACAGCAAAATAAAAGTTTGCAAAGGAATGCTCACAAGAATACAAAAATATATGTAATCCAGACACAAACAGTTGCAAAAACAAAAAAAAAACTTTCCTAACCTTTGTGTTATATGGAAAGCACTGCCTTTTGTTCTTTTATATGAATAGATATAACTGTAAGAAATTTTATACAATTTTGAACAACTTTTCTGTTTTGCGTAAAGAGTGACCTGTCAGGTTCACATGTGAATAGGTAAATGCTTTTACAGGTAAAAACTGAAGTGTTAGTGATAACCCATTTTCAGACACAGAGGATTAAATTTGAAAATTAGTCCATCCTTAAAATTAAGGATGTGAAATCTATCTTAACATGATTGTGCTATCCTTCTTCTACCTTTCTCTTTAAAAAACAATAAAATGCATAATCTATTTCTTTCCTCTAATGAATTAATTCCACTGCACATACAAGGAATTCAATTAGATATCAATGAAATATGGGATATACAAAATAAAATTAATCTACAACAGTTTTACAAAACATTTACATCTTAACAACAAAACAACAATAACTATCCTATTGAAAAATATAAATACGATCTAAAAACAGAAAGGTAAATTAGCAGAAAATTACTCTTCTGCTTAAAAAAATCAAGTCTTTTTGTTTTGTTTCAAGAACAGAGCTTTAAAATTACAGAAAATGTTAAATAATTAGAAACATTTATAAGTTTTAAATCACATTCTTTATAATGTAGTAAACAATAAAAGTGTATTGCATTATATTCTACAGATTTACTTAATATTCATAAAATTTCATATTTTGTCAGTGGTAAACCACTAATTTGTTTGCAGCACTTGTATTTCCTGAGATGCTGAAATGCAATACTTGTTTGGCAGTTGTTAGTGAAAGAGTATGTATGTGATAGCCTCAGTAAAACACACAATACTGACTAAAACAATGTACAAACAAAATGCACAAAACCAGTCTCCTTAGATAGTACAGTTTAAGAACTGATTCTTTCTAGGATGATAAATTTCACTATCAACCCTTCATTTAAGTATCTACATCCATGTGTATTTTATACATTTATTGAAAAGCACTGACAAAAAACCCATTGGAACTTTTTATAGATAAAATCATATTGTTTGAAACTCTTTGATGAAACTGACATCCTCTGGAAGGTTTGGGCAGTAGACATTTTATTTAGCATTTATACCAAACATTTTCCAAAAAAATCTTACTTGATTTTTTTTTACATACATGTATATGCAGATTCTTAATCTATTTGCAAGCTACAATTTACAGTCAACAAGCACAAAAAATACATTGACACTTTCATGTAATTTCACTGTTTTTAATTTCTACCTCTCTGCTAAACATAATTTTGCAAGAACAAATATATCATTCACATCTCCCAGCCTCTTAACTATCATTGCTGATGGCCGATTCTTGGCTAAATATCCTTGCAATGTTGATATGTCCCTGTCAACTTATTTGAACTTTCTATCTAATTATACATATATATTTCTAAAACCACTGTACATCTATCTAGGGACGGATTCTTCAGTTGTACAGAAAGTATGGCTGACAGATGGAACAGTGTCTCTAAGTCTCTCTTAGGCACAAGAAATATGGGTGAATTGTTGTCACCGTCCAAACGGGATTGTTCTATTGGCAGGACTCCAAGCTGGTCGATCCTCCAGATCCTCAGTAGAACCATATCTTCTTTGTTTTCTCTCCTGCTTCTTTTGAGCATCCTGTCAATGAAAAAACAATTGCAAAAATGAGAGATACTATCAGAATAACAGGTCTTGCTGTTAGAATCCAAATTACCATAGAAAAACTCCAGTGTAGAGGTAGGTGACCCAACACATGTACCTTCTCACACTCAACCTGGAGATTGAACGTGGTCATCTTGGTTTATGGTGAGTGTTGCCACTGAACCATTATTATGTCAACAAGATGACACAGGTAAAAGTAATATTAACTAATGAGGTATACTTGTATATTTCCATCTTTATCATTCACATATATTTTATTGTTTTATATGTAAGATGTATATAAAGTATACCTTCTGCATGTTCTAAATGTCTTTTCTCTTACAAGTATAACAACATACTGTAGTTACACCACAAACACTGAAGTGTCTAACACATTATCATAAATCTGCATTAAAATTATTTACTAAACAGCAATATTTATGGATGGGCTTGATACTAGACTCAGATTAATGTCAGCAAAATAGAGACGCTAAGGCAAATTCATTATTTATATTACAAAAACTTTTATACCAGACAAATGATTTAAGGTCTTTAAGCCTGATCATTCCAAAAACACATTTTCTTTGCAGTAATCTGTCATTTCTGTCTAAAAATGGCTCTAGTATTCTTGATAACACCATTAGTATGAGTGAGTCACCCTTTCTGTCTGATCATTGACTCTAATCATTATCACAACCTTAGTATGAGTGAGTCACCCTTTTTGTCTGATCATTGACTCTAATCATTATCACAACCTTAGTATGAGTGAGTCACCCTTTTTGTCTGATCATTGACTCTAATCATTATCACAACCTTAGTATGAGTGAGTCACCCTTTTTGTCTGATCATTGACTCTAATCATTATCACAACCTTAGTATGAGTGAGTCACCCTTTCTGTCTGATCATTGACTCTAATCATTATCACAACCTTAGTATGGATGAGTCTAATTATGAGACTCTTTGTATGAATAGCTAACCCTTTTCAGTCTCTGACCAATGGCTGTAATCCTGATATCACTCTTAGTTTTGGTGAATCATACTGTCTGATCACTGGCACTAATCATCTAACCCACAGGTTAAGTTACCTACCTTTCTCTCTAACCAATCATGATATTGACGTAAGGCGTCCTCCTCTTGTTGGTGTTTTTGCTTTTCTTGCATTTTGACTTGTTGTTTTGTCATGGTTTTTTTAGTTTTAACTTGATCTTTAATGAGATTATCTTTCTTTGATTTCCTGTAAAACAATGATAAAACTGTAATGTATCTAAAATTGTCAACATATATAAATACATAGTACTTAGTAATTCAGTCCCTGGATTTTGCTATTTCCCCCATAAGATTGTATAGCAAAACTTGCATGTAGTGAATTAAATCCCTCTATATAGTATTTAACAGTGTAGACTTATACTGTATACATATTTATTTAACATCTTTCAAGGTTTTTTTTCTACAATACTACTGAAACCTATTGAATTAATCCAAGTTAATGGTAGACTGGCTAAAATGTCCTGTAACAAATTGAATGTAAATACCAATTCTGTAAAAGGTTAGGACTGATTTATATCTCCAAATATTACAAATATTTCATGGGCAATCTATTTATTGCTTATATACATGTAAGTGTATTCAAGTAAAAGATTGAAACATAAAATAAAATTGCTTTATTCTTATCTTTACTCAATTTCATAAAAGACTTGAGAGAAAAAGAACAAAAATTAGAATAAAACAATTATGCAGTTTAAAGATATAACGCTTAAGTAATTAAGAGAAATTAAAAAATATCCCAGTTCCTATACAACTATATGTAAGCACCATTGTTTGATGAAATGATAAAAATTGTCAAATGTGACCTTTGATCTTTTAACTTTGACCAATCCAATAAGATAAGATGTAAATCTTGATGTATGATACTATGAGATACATATGATCCAATATTTTTTAAAAGTTCTCAAAATTGACATAGTCTAAGAATACGACATGATGGGATGGTGTTGGGGCTGATCGCCATGGATAAACACTATACCTCGCTTTAAAATGGAAAGAGCATTGCCATCAAAATTGAAAGTACAAAATGAATGTACATACCATCCCTTGAAAGCTGATGTACTCAATTTTTCACGAGCTTTCTTAGCAGAATCTTTCTCCTTCTTTTCTTCATATTCTGTCATCTTTTTATCTCTGATTTTCTCTTTCATAAGCTCTGTCTTCGTTTCTTTCCAAATTTCGAAATTCTGAATTAAAAGAATAATGATTTGCCAAACATACATAGACAGAGACAGGTTATGCTCTCTAAATGAACAAAATTTAAGTTTGAAAAATTACAAAGGCAACTGGTCCAAAATCATGCAAAAGAGACTGATGGTTCTTGTGCATGGCACTTTTCTTTGTTGAGAGCTTTGAACAGCATATAAATGAATGTTTCAAAGGAAGCAAATCAAAACGAACCTTCAAACCGTTTCATTCTAACAGTCAAAATAACTGAAGAAAATTGCAGCATGATTTCAAAACTTTATTCAAATTACCTTTGCAGCTTCCTTTCTCTTCTGTTCTTTTTCTCTCTCTTCCCTAATTTTTTTCTCTTCCTCTTTTTTCTTTTCTCGTGCTTGATCTCTCAATGTTGTTTCCTTCTTTTTCTCCATCCATGCATTATAAGAAGCCTTGTTTTCCAAGAATTTTTCCTGTTTTTCCTGTTAATTTCAAAATACAATAATATTCTTCAACTTTGAGGGAATCTCTCCAATATATGATATTTAAAGCTATTATAGAGGTTGAGTGTATGTATGTCTATGTATGTCTATTCGGGCAGTTCATGCCTCATGTAATTATACTGATCCCCGTCCAGATCCTGCTTCACTAAGTAATACAAACATGCTCACAGTTCCTGCTTCACTAAACAATACAAACTCCCTTGCAGTTCCTGCTTCACTAAATAATACAAACTCCCTTGCAGTTCCTGCTTCACTTAATAATATAAACTAATACAAAAAAAATGGCCTCAGGTTTGATAAAATCAAGGAATGAAGCTACTTGTATGCCCGCAAGAATTTTCTAGCAAGGTGTCTATAGGGCCTGTATCACCAGCCAGGGTTGATTAACTTTACCTAAGGAAAAATATTTGAAGCACTTGTATTTATTTTTCCTACTAGTTCTGTCCCTCCTCTGTACAAAACTAAATTCTTTTCATCAAGGATGCTTTAGATTAAATCTCAACAAAATTGTGTCATTAAAACACAAGAAAAATTAGAAAGAATTTATTCTATTTCCACCCACAGGCCCTGCCCCTCCAACCACACAGGGAAAAAATCCACTCTTCAGATAAAATTGATCACCTTCATCAAAGCATGTCTCAGACCAAATTGGGACAGAATCCTGCAATTCCTGAAATTCAAGATCATTTTTAAAGAAATAAATTTTCCTTATTGAGGCCTTCACCTTATTTATGCCTTAAGCAGCTGAGACCCATTGTTTATACAAAACTGATATCCATTAACCCAGGTATGCTTAAGCCCTAATTTGGACAATATCCAGCAATTCCTGAAGAGCAAGATAGATTTTAAAGAAATGGATAGATTTTCCCCACTGAGCTTAACCACTCTCACCCAAGGGGGCTGAAAACCACCATTTACACAAACTGATTTCTCTTTACATGAGCATGCTTCAGATGGACACTTTAGTATCCCTGTAGCTCATTTGGTCGTTCAGCCTAGGTGAGCTAATAACATCATTCATGATACTGAACCTAGATCCTTGGACTTCAAATTCAGTTCAGGTGTAATGGTCTTTTATTAGTGTGTGAAATCCTTGAAGGAATGAATCTTTTGGAACGCTGAGAAGGATAAAAGGAGGTTTTTAGACCTATTTTAACTTCTAAACTACAACATTTCCTCTTGAAGCCATCCCCCTGCATCTAAAATACAAAGTGTGATCTGACTTTTCATTATCAAAGTTAAAGAAATAAACCAGATCAAACCTCTTCTTTCTGTTTCGTAGTTTCTTCCTCTTTCTTCTTCTTTTCAGCAAGCTGCTGTTTGGCAGACTTCATCTTTTCTTTTCTCCATTCTGTGTATATAGCATCCCTAATTGAGCGAGTGCTGTTCAGTGAATCCTCAGTAAGATTTCCTATGCTGCTGGGGGTCCCAGGCAAGGAGTGACGGGGTTTAGGCTTATGGACTTGACGTTTACCATCATCTCTATACAAAGCGATAAATAGATAAATACATACTAAAAATGTCTGTAAGATATGAATGCCTCCACTCCCTTGCATGTCAGTAAGAGTGTTAATGTACAGAATTTGTCAAAGAAAGTTGTCAAATGTGACCTTTGATCCTTTAACCTTTGACAAAAGACAACCTATACCATATTATAAGAAGATGCAACCTTTTTAAAATTTCAGTGTCAAATGGGTACAACTTTTAAGTGCATTATGGGATAGATTCTTATGTTCCACTATCAAATGATTATAATTGATATTCTTTTGATAATACTGTTCATCATCTATCCATAAGAAATCAACAAAATTCATTGCAGACATGAAAATGGAGATTAGAAATAACACAAAAAAAAAAAAAAAAGAAAAGAAAAAAGAGGAAATCAAAGGAACACGAAAACTTATCAGAATAAATGAAGAACTTTCAACAATCTTGAAATAATTCCCAAAAATAGAAAACCATTGACATGTATATTTGAAGAGAGAAAGAATTACATCCCAACAATTCAAATTCAATTCCAGGGGAGGTAATTTGATACGAACTTGTGAAATTACATTCCAAGAGAATACCGATACATAAGGATTTTTCATTTCATTGATAATGAATAATGAATATTGTGGCTGCATTCATACAACAAAATGTATAGACAGGTAAATTTTCTACACATACTCAGACCTGCAGATAAAAAGGAAAAATCATGAATATTCAACATCTAAACAGCAGTCTTATATTCTTCTATAAAATCAATCAACAATAACAAAAATATAACACAAGACTGGGCCTCCAAACTCTAATGCTCATTGAAAATGAATTTACAGTGTAACTTAATTTTCCTGTAGTATCATAGACACTGTACATACATTTTTGACTTTTCTTTGTCAGGCTGAATGGGTTTGATATGACCTGGTCCATGCTTTTCTTGTTCCTCGGCAACCATATCTATGATTTCATTGTTCACCTGGCCGTTTGTCATCTTTCCAGATTTGGAGCTGTAAACACAGAGAAAACTGTGCTCAAGAATTTTTTTTTATAATACATAATTTCTAAAATATACAATTTATATATGATATTTAAAGAGCTAGACCCACTCCGTTATAGATATTTTTTTCATATTTTATTGATTGGAAATGTTGTTGTATACTTATGAATAATATATAAATAAAGACTTCTATAAAGTTTCGAACTTGAAATTGAAAGGGTACCGGAGATATCAGTGCCGGAATTAGTCTCATTAATCAACACCAGGATATGAATATTGTTGAGGAAAAGTCACATGATACGTTCAGACGCAATCAGAACCAAAACAAAAATGGAGGAAGAGGTGAGTAGTACGTCCATGTGACATCGATTGTAAAGAGATTTTACCGATAAATGCAATCAATACTCTATACATCCTGTATGGAAATCATCTAATGTATGTATTGATCACATCTTTCAATGCTTAGATATGACACAAAAACGTGCAGATTACGAGAAAAACTACGATTAATTGCAAATAGGCCCTCAAATGGGGGCTACGATATGGTAACAAACATATCGAACATCGCAAAATGGATCTATCTAAAGCAAATATTTGATAATAAGAGTATTTAATATGATTTGAGAGTGATAATACACGAGAGAACCAAACAGAGAGCGATACAGAGTATGAACCAGCCATCTTCCTTCTTTTCGCCTCAGAGTCCGTCAAAACATGTTTTCTTCCTCCATTCCCTTGCATGCTTTCTGCCATGTTGGAAGACGGCAGATTTATTTACAGTTCTTTGCGCATGAGTCAGAGGGCAGGACTTCCCGCATAATTATGAATTAGCACTGAGTCGTTTCAAATCCTTTTTTAAAACTATTAATTATGTTAGATTGGTAGCGATTTACTTTAAAATTGCAATATTATAGGGTTAGTCAGAACTTTTGCTACCTGAGAAAAATAGAAAATCATGATTTTTTTTTAATATAAAATAATATCGGTCAAGGAGTGGATATGACTCTTTAATGGTTGAAATATTCTGTATACCATAATTATAATGTGTCCTATGTTGATAGTCCATGTAGAGAAAATGGTTTTATAATAGCAATTAAATATCCATGATTGTTTTTTTTTTTCAGAAAAATCTGAGTTAAAAATTCTAACTGACAAAAAATGTCACCCATACGTTAAAAGGTGAAAAAAATCCTTATTAAAGATTTATTTTTGTTTTACTATTTTCAGTTTTTAACATTTTAACATCATTGCCACTTACCCATTAACCATTCTGCTTTCACCTTGGGTCGCTGTCATCCTCATGTTTGGGTCATTTTCAACATCAGCACACACAGAACTTTGGTCCATAGGAATTTTCTCATCTATATTTCTTGATGACCACAAATCCTCAGAACTTTTCCCCTTAGGCATAACATCTTGTTTACTTTTCAAAGGACGTTTTTCCACTGTTTTTTGTTGCTGCTGTTGTTTTTTAGTGAGAAATTTGTTTGCTTGCTCAAATTCATCATCAATTGAATCGTTGGAGACATCTCTGAGTAGTCTAGGTTTTGTGTCCTGTTTCTTTTTTCGTGGATCTGGAGAGTCCTCATTCAAGAAGTCAAGGAGACTTGCCTCTTTTTTCAATGGTGGGGGCTCCTCTCGGTCGCCTTGTTTAGAGAACCTTGCTCTTTGACCTTGGCTGATTGCTGAACCTGTTGGAGATTTCCTACCCAACATATCCTTTGTGGGTGTTTTCCTGCCTTGGAAAACCCCTGTTGGAGTTTTTCTACCCTGTGGATCATTTGTTGGTGTTTTCCTGCCCTGCAAGTCTCTTGTGGGTGTTTTTCTCCCCATTGGATCAGTTGGAGTTTGCCTGCCAGAAAGTCCAGGCATTCTCTGTCCACCAGTCGGAGTTTTCCTACCTCCATAGAGGTCTGTTGGAGTTTTCCGACCAGGACTCAATTTTGAGAATCGTTGCTGTCTTTGCGTATCCTCATCATCAGACAATTCTACCTCCACAGTGGATGTCTTACCAAATATGTCAGTGGTATTCCTTGGGCGTGGACGAGGAACCTCTCCCTCTGTCCCTCTGTAAATATCACATGTTAAATAATATTTGTTATCCTTTTTTCACATTTTTTTTCCATAAATTTTCACATCTACAATTGTTTTCTAAACAAGGATGTTGTGACTTATATTTCTGTAAAATTAATTTGTGTAGAACGTTTTGCTCAGATGCACATTTTCTGGTGCCTGGTGTATAAGGCAATTTGAATATGGTAATATATATATATTGAATAAAGGAATAAGTATTAGTTTTATTTCCTTATTTGCAATCTTTTGCTAAAAAATCCCTCTGGGTTCAACATTTGGTAAGATAATAAGTTTCATTACCAAAAGTAAACAGTTTGAAATCAATTAAGATGAATTCAATTATGAACTCACTTTGTTGCTCTCGGTAGAGTTGTTCCCCCTGATAGTTGGCGTGGTCTAGGAGATGGGGTCTCTGATATTGGCCTCAGGGAGGACTCCAGCGATGGTGTAGTTCTGCCTCGCAATCCTTTAACATTAATATTAACATTCGTTGACAACATTAATAAACCTTTTTGACACCAAGACCATGATTCAGTAATAATTTTTTTAATTTATGACGTTAACAGTAATTAAATGTTTTAGCGACTTTTTGAGATTTTAATTCATCAGCATCATTCTATACTCTGACACATAACATTTGTAGTAAGTACACATAGCTTTGTACATAATCAAAAATGGCTCATTAAATTTATATATTATTTCAATATTTGGAGACGGTAGATCTCCACGTAAAATGAAATCTTTCAAGTTTCATTTTCCCTTTTTCTTCACAATCACCTTTTAGATTCTTTCACAAATAACCAAACTCTCAACTGGTAACGTACGCAGAGACAGACAATATAATGTTAATCTTAAGATGTACAAATTATTTTTTCATCATCCTGTTTTCCTAATTAAACCCAGCCACAATATTTAGTTTCTATACCTGAGGTAGGTGATACTCCTCTATCTCCGGATCCCCTATCATCATCCATCATGACAGGACTTGCCTTTCTCAGGTTTGGTGCTTGCCATGGCTTGTTAGAGTCTTGTGTAAGTCTTCTGATTATAAACAGTGTTCAAAATTATTCATAACTGAGAGATTGTAAGATCTATCACACTGTATCAAGATTGTATTAAACAGTTCCTGATGGAAGTATTTAAAACAGAGAAATCATTTTTCTAAAACGGTATATATCTGTATGTCAACAATCTATTTTGCATTAAAAAAGGATTAATATCAACATATTTTAGGAAATATTGAAAAAAATATTTGTGAAAGTCAAAAAAAAAAAAAAAAAGAATCTAAAAAGAGAAAAAGAATTGACACATAAAAAAAGGAAATTAATAAATAAGTTTACCCTTGCAAATCACTTGTTGGAGTTTTTCTTCCAAAGATCATGTCTGATGCAGACATCGGTTGTTCTTGCTTCAGTTTTGAATTAGATTTATCTCCCTTTGGAGATAGTCCCCCTTTATTATCCCCGTAAGGCCTCATGCTTGAACTCCCTTTAGGGGACAGTTTTGGTGATGTGAGGGAAGGCATTTCCATGCTATATCTGTCCCTAGGTGGAGTCTTTGGTGAGCTTAGTGGTGGCATACTACTATTTCCAGCAGATGACCCTCCTTTCTTCATGAAGCGATCACCTGCCCCTGGTCTGAGGGTGTCAGTGAGGGATAAATCTGCTTGATGTTCGAGAGGGGAACGACGCTTTGCAGAACTTGGGCGATTGCCTTTCTTTTGTTGGAAGTCTGTCCGATACTGTGCATATGGATCTAAAATAAACAAATAAATAAAATAAATTTAAACAAGAGACCCAAGGGGCCTGCATTGCTCACTGCCTCAGTTAGCTTTACAGCCATTTAATAAAGAATTTTAAATATGACAAACAATTTCATACATAATTATCTTATTTGGCCCCGTCCTTGTGGTCAAACAGAGGTCAGATTAATTTTTCATAAAAATAGCTTCAGACCAAACATGGACAATACCCTTGTATGGAAAAAGGGCTTTTAAGATCTAACATTTCCCCAATTAGGACCTCTCCTTCTGTCATTGGGGCCAGAAAGCACTGTTTCCATAGGCCTTATATAAAATTGAATCTCCTTCACCCAACAATGTTTCGGACGAAAATTGGGGAAAATCCAATCAATCCAACAAGACAAATTTGATTTTAAAGAAATTGCTCTATTTTCCCTAATGTGCTCTGCTCCTTAGACCCCGGACTACCAAGACCCAACATTTATACAAAATTAATTCTCCTTCACCTAACAATTCTTGAGACCAATTTTGGGTAAAATTGAATCATTCCTACAAAAGAAGTTGAATTTTAAAGAATTTGCTCTATTTCCCCTATTGGGCACCTCTTTCACTGCCCCAGGGGTCCAAGACCCACCATTTATACTAAACACTGAACAATTCTGCTGACAAATTTGGGCAAAATCCAATCATTCCTCCTACAGAAGGAATAGTATTTTAAAGAATTTGCCCTACTGGGCACTGCCTCTACCGTCCATGGAGCCAAATTTGGGTAAAATCCTGTAAGTCGTTTATGACTAGTAGCGATTTGTATGAAAAAGTTGATGGATGGATGGACAACAGACACCACTGTTTCATCAGACAAGCCCAGAGAACCACTTAAAAAAGAAATGTTCAGTTACTCGGGGATACTGTGGAGTCTCATATTGTGGATGAGCCCTACAGAAAAATTTCTAAGTCATGTACTTGATTATGTCCCTAAACCACTGCCATCTAAAATATATATTTGTATATCAAGTTGAACATTATCAAAACCCACATATCTTAAAACAGATATGAATATCATATTTAAAAAATGTATTCATAAAAACATGATATGTAAACTACATCTATTTAGCAACAATCTTAAAACAAGTAAATATATATTATTGATCACTCTTTTTGACGCAAATGGCTTGTACTTTGTATAGAACATTTTCAGGCAAGTCTAGATTGGCCATTCCAAAACTGAAATAACTTGATAAAGCCCACTAGGCTGAGTAGGTGACCCCATACCTTTGGACATGTAATCAGGGAAGCAAACCCCATTCCCACAGGTGAAATGAGATTGCATTTCTACTGAGCCCCAGCCACCTTAAATTTGTATTTACAAATTCCTCAGTGAATATAAAGCAAAATAGCTAGGCAAAAACTTTCATTTAACCACAGGTACATTATATAAATTTGATAATTACATGTATTGCCAATGTCAAAAGTATCTTTTTTTACTGCTTGACACACCAAACAACAAAATGGACCAGTTCTAAAACTTAAGCTTAGCTAATTATTTTCAAAGCTTACCAGCTATAATTTATTCTCAATTATAAAATGAGATACACATACATCATGGTCCTGAGTTATTCTCTCATTAAAAGTTTCAATACCAAAACAATCAAATGACATTTAAAAAATATATTACCATAATCATCATCTCCGCCTGGCTCCAAGTCTTCTGGAACATCACTGTCATCAGTCAAATCTGCAGTCAATCCCTGTTTGCGCCTCTCATGTAACCTCTGTTGAAGTTCTGTCTGAAAGTTTGATGACTTTTTTGGTTTCATGTACTTTGGCCCATATCCTGGGCTGTCCACCATATCCATGTTGAACAAAACCTAATAAACCTGAACAGATTAAAAAAAGGAAAATAGAAAGCTTGTATCATTATGAATTAATTATCTTACAATGTCATGTTTCAAATACACTTATACTAAGCAACTTCTTTTTGGTAATAATTAGATGTCTGGTAAGCAATACCTGTCCACATACAGCTAGCTTTTAAAGTTTGAAAAAAAAAAAAAAAAAAAAAGTTTGACAATTAGGTGCATTTTAAATGAAGTGGTGAAAAAGGAATTCCTGCAGTCCCCACTGAAGTTTGAAATAGCAATCCCAGTGACAGATGTCTTTAATCACCAATATGAAATAAAAAAAAGAAATGTATTCCAAACTTCTTCACTGCTTCCTTCTTCATAGAGTCACTGTTCAAACAAAGTCAATTCCTTATTAGCAGCACCACACACTTAAAAGCGGAGTGATAATATAATTTTGTACATGCTCTGCATCTGGTAGGGCTTGAGCTACATGTGGCAAAGTTTTGCTTTCTAAACAGACACCCTATCACCTCTAGTTGAAACAAATTATGCAATATCCCAGATTAGCAGGTATCCATCAGACTTCACAATACTCTCAACTTCTTCAAGTCACTGTACACTATGTAGAAATTGAGAATACAGCAGGTTGCCAAATTTGCCTTAGGAAACTGTATAGTTCTAATTATTCTGATATTCAGTTGACTTTTATTTCTAGAGTTGATCATTGAACAAAGAATGTACAGTTAGAAACTAAAGGCATGTGTGTCCATCCTTGTTACATATTTGATACAGTGTACTGTACAGTAAAATAACACATTCATTTTTCTAGTGTCTGTGTTATTAGTTCTCAATTATCTGTATGTCATTTTAAAGGACATTAGCATGTGATTTTCAGCCAACTGCATTTCTCTTTTTAAACAGACTCTACTAGAAGTGCAATTTATTTGAAAAATTTTCAGCTTGTAATAACTACTAGAGATATCTATAAATTTGGTAACCACAGCTGTTAAAAAAACTGGCATGATATGGAATAAGTCAGAAAGTTGTAAAATGGATAAATGATTTCCTACGTAAATGGATGCCAGTATTCATTGTAAATAGTGAAGCATGAAAAACATACTTCGTAATCAGTGGTATACCAAAGGGAAATGTGCTTGGACAAACTTGATTTGTAACATATATATCTCAATGACTTTCAAGAAATATTCCTTCACTGCTACTCTTCCCTGATCATATGGAACCATACAGGCAAATAAAAAGTGATACAGATGTAAAAGCACTCCAAGAAGACTTGGATAAACTTCAAATTTGGTAAAAAAAAAACGGCTTTTGAAATTTCATCAAGATAAATTCATGGTTATAACAATAAAAACATCAGAAAAGGGAAATACTACATGTCAGGACAAGAAGGGGAGAAGATCCAGTTGGAAATTGTAACACATGAGAAGGATAATGGCATAACTATCAATCAGGAATTAAGTTTCAAAACATATCTACATAATATTGTTTACACGGAATATAGTATATTTTGACTTCCTGGATTTAAGAACTAATTGTACAAGGAATGTCTGAAGAGATTAATTATCCCTATCAACATCACAGAATCAGAATGTACATATCCTTGGTGCAGATATTGTTTACCATTTCGAAGTATTGCTTAATATTTCCTAATAAAATATACAGAATTAATGTACTACAAATTGTATTAACACAAACTGTGTGAGAGAGCAATAACCTAATAATATTGTTCAATTCCGGAACTACTTTGGGAAAAAATGATAAGGCAACTCATGTTATCTTTTTAACCACTGGCCAAGGCACTTATTGTATCTGTAATTGTATCGATATATCATATGTGCAACTGAATATGTTGCATTAACAGTGAAGAGTTTGTAATTCAACATTCTATAGATCATACGTATGCATGCTAGCGTTAATCAAAAGATAGGAATGTTACGATGATTTCTTTTTTCTATATCTATGAATCTGCAAATGTTGTTTACAAATTACAGGCGCAAGCCCATGCATGCCGAAAACATATACATACGTCGGTATCAAATCGACATCTAATGAGCCAATTAGGCCATAACAATCAATGCAACGTACAAAAATTCAAACGTTTACACAGCTAAACATTCCGTATCATGAATTACCTGTTAATATTCCTTCAATTTATGACACAATCTGAACACATGAAAACAGTGGCAGACATGTTTTACGTTACCAAGAATGCAATTAGTGGTTGATATAAATTTGAAAATTATTTGCTTTCAGGATTCGGAAATTATTGCCGATATTTTAAATGTGAAAAGAAAAACAAATTCTAAAAATTCATAGTTATTTGTATTGTATATTGAGTTTACGCGAACTTGCTGAAATACAATCGCTTAAGATTTTATAGGGATGTTCGTTCCGTTTGTTCTAGGGGAGATAACATGTGCCCGTTGCAAAAATAAGGGAGCACGCACGCAATGTATTGAACATATCAAAGTAAAGACAAATGCGCTATATATCATGACAAAATGAAGTTCCCATACATGCAATTGATCAGTAATATATTAACACACACGCAAATATTTCTGTTCTTCTTTACTGGGTGTGAATAGAGAATATCTATATAAACATATTCTAAGATAAGAAATACCAATTTCTGCATGTTTTATCACAATTATTCGCTTTAGAGATTTCCTATAACTTTCTTGATAAGCAAAACCGCCCAACATATCACCGCAAAAGTTATTGGGATCATGTTAATAAAAACTGTGTAAAATAATCAAAAATATATCAAGACAAGCTTTTTTTAATTATACTTTTTCTTGTAAATAAGGCCGACGTGAAACGGAATTTTCAACATATTCGATACCTAATATCTACCTCCTCAGTAACACTTGTTGTGGGGAAGATAGTGCACACACTTGCCAAAATACTTCGTCAAATTATTGCACATCGAAGAAATATGGAATTATTATAATGTGGTTTAAAAGTAATCTGATGATACAGAAATGTAGAACTGATCTCTATGACACCAGCAGTTTACAAGGATATCTAACTTTTAAAAATATTCTTCATACTGCAGGGTGTCATTATATTTAGTAAACACGCTTGGGACCTTACCAAACGGTTGTAGAGAGAGGGTCGTAATATACTAATGGTCGCTGGGACAAGCTTGACTGTATAAATGGTTATTTAATTTTCATTGTATGACCAATGATACATTCTTACACAAAATAAATATAATCCATCAGATATGGCAAGATGCTGCCACGATTTTCTGTTATTTTATATCAAAATTTGACAGAGCACATATATTTGCAATCTGTATCAATGACTGCATGTATATGTATTTACAAATGTGTCTAAGGTGATCTGATGATGAAAACATCATAACATTCAAGTTCTTTTGTTTGCACAGGAGAAAATTGTTAAGTCCACAATGTTGAAATACGTATTTCTCATTAATTTTTGCTCTGAACACCATTTTTTTTTCAAAAATGAAAAGCAACCATTAAACGTGTTTCAATGAAATAAAATTAAAGTTAAATATTCATTAAAGTTTAGAGTTTCATTCAAAATTAAGTCCCATCGCCCAACTTTGTACTATAAAGAAAAATAGATTTCGGTTTTTTTTTTGAAATTAAACAGTACTTTGGCAGTTATTCCTGTATTTGCTTAGTAAAAGGATAAGGGACGAACAACTCGCTTTTTTCTTTTCTTTTTTGTTTGTTTTTTGTTTTTGTTAAAAATCTGTGTTAACCAATTTTGTTCAGCTATCCGAAGCCAACGATCAAGAATATTGGATAGAATTCAATTTCCATAACCAAATTACTCGTTTAGATATGATATTAATTTAGGATATAGTGACCGTGTTTGAAAGATTTTCAATAGTCTATAGATAAACTGCATACATTTCGCAAACATCCCTTCAAAGATGGCAAATGTTTTACTTACGTGTTTTGTTTCATGTATGCGCAAAGTTTCATCTTGAAAGAAAAGAAGATAAATTTAATTGCAAATTTTGGAGTATTTAATTGTGCTCGACAGGCGCCAGGTATTGCTTTATCTTCTATAAATATCATTTATGTACTGATAACATGTGTCACATTTCATGTTGATGTGTTAAATCATATGTGAAATATAATGACTTTATTGGTGAGTTTTGTTACCTTTCATCCTGATGTGTTTAATGTAATCATACAACATGTAAACGACATAAAACATCATCGATGTTATCAGATGCAGTGCTACATTTAATGCTGACGTGCTGTTATTTTGATAAAACATCATCGATGTTAACAGATGCTGTGCTACATTTAACGCTGACGTGCTGTTATTTTGATAAAACATCATCAATGTTATCAGATGCTGTGATACATTTAATGCTGACGTGCTGTTATTTTGATAAAACATCATCGATGTTATCAGATGCTGTGCTACACTTAATGCTGACGTGCTGTTATTTTGATAAAACATCATCGATGTTAACAGATGCTGTGCTACACTTAATGCTGACGTGCTGTTATTTTGATAAAACATCATCGATGTTAACAGATGCTGTGCTACACTTAATGCTGACGTGCTGTTATTTTGATAAAACATCATCGATGTTAACAGATGCTGTGCTACACTTAATGCTGACGTGCTGTCGTTTTGATAAAACATCATCGATGTTAACAGATGCTGTGCTACATTTAATGCTGACGTGCTGTCGTTTTGATAAAACATCATCGATGTTAACAGATGCTGTGCTACATTTAATGCTGACGTGCTGTCGTTTTGATAAAACATCATCGATGTTATCAGATGCTGTGCTACATTTAATGCTGACGTGCTGTTATTTTGATAAAACATCATCAATGTTATCAGATGCTGTGCTACATTTAATGCTGACGTGCTGTTATTTTGATAAAACATCATCGATGTTAACAGATGCTGTGCTACATTTAATGCTGTTGTGCTGTTATTTTGATAAAACATCATCAATGTTAACAGATGCTGTGCTACATTTAATGCTG